GTCTGATGTTAACACTGCTGATGTTCGAACTATTTTGTGGTAGAGGAGGCTTGGGATTACCGTAGTGCCTTGGTTTTAATTAATATTTGTTTGAAGGTCCAACATATTTTAGAGTTGAGCTCAAGGGCCAAAAATAATATCCGCTGCGTTAGAAGCAATAGTTGGATGATACTGGGGGGAACGTGTCATCGGTTTAAGAGTCGTTGGTCAGATTTGATGATCCCAATAAAAATAAAGCCTAGATTTAGAGTCTAGACACATTTTTTTGAAATATACAAGTAACATGAACATTAATTGAACTTGTAGGCCTACGTTTGGTAATTATTTTCCACATTGTACGCAATGTCCTTTGTATCTTTATGAGCGCTGTTTTTTTTGTAAAGTAAGTTTTTATTAACCTCTTAAAATCAACTGCAAACACTAATGACGAAAAACAGAGAACAAAACAAAACTTGGAGGCACACAAATTAGGTATATATATTATGGCCTATATTCTGGCCTATTCTTGTTCATTTTCGAAACATCACCAACATCAAGTTGTTTTCCCGTAAAATAGTTAGTGCACATACCCAGGGCTTGCATTTTTGTCTTCTTCCTTCATGATTATATAAACGTTGATTTTTTAAAAAATATTTTTATTTTCTATTTTTTATCGCTGGCCAAATTAAATACTCCGCAGGCAAAATTTGGCCCACGGGCCACAGTGCTTTCTGATGATAGGCATAATTACACTTTCGTATTTTTAAATCGGATCTTTTTGATGGAGAGGTGTGAGATAGGTTGTTAGAGTGGTTACTGTAGGGTCCCACTCCTCGCCTTTAAACGCACGCCATAATGTACCTTTCCGCGGCCCCCTCCTTTTAACAAAAATAGCGTAAATGTACGTAAACACATGATGTGTTTAATGGAACACACGTGTATTTTGGCGACATGTGCGTAGTTGTAGCGATGTTCTGTTCAGTAAAATTCCATTTTCTATTGTCCGTTAATCTGTGCTCACAAGAGAACTTATTTCTTTTTTTTCAGGTAGCAGACTATCGAGATAAAATATGGTAGAAAAAATAATCAACTCTAAACGTTCGGAAATGCGAACACTTTTCAACGATGATTGTTTTGGATATAGACCACACGGAGTGAGTGAGCTAGCAGGTGATATCATACATGTGGACTGCAGCATTGATAGACGTTATTCTAACTTACATCTTTCGAAATTCATAAGAAAGAACGCCGATAAAGATGTGAGTAGGACTACATTTTCGTTCACATGATGAAATCATAAACTTTTGTAAAATACAATATTAAAATCTTCATATGTAGCCTATAAACTCAAACAAAAGTTACCTCCTGCAAAAAGTGTTTTTCTCATCTCAATGAAGGAATTGCATTGTCTGGAATCAACACTTTTTCCTTAGCACATTAAAGGATTTGGCGCGAATGTTGCAGGCTCTGGTAGTGTAGTCGGCCATGGAATGTCCTTGTTTTATGCACTAGGCCTATTTGTTTTTATATTAATGCTGTCATAATTTAATCTTTAATTGATTTAAATTGTAAGAAGCCCGTGATTATCAGTAGAGATCTATAGAACAAGAGGGAGTCTCCAGAATCGTTAATGCACCTTCGTATGATCAGACTACCCTTCTAATATCAAACCTAAAGTGTGTTAGACGCTTCAAGTGAGGTTACAGACGCAGCCGAAGTAGTGTATTCCATTCAGTAATGATTTCTTCTAAATAAAACTGAAGAAAAGCAATGAGTTGTTGTCTTTGTTTAATAATATCATTGTCTATCTTTTATCTTCATGTTATTTCGTATTACTGCAAGTAACCTGATGGTATTGTTGACATTTGTATTCTAGATTTCAACCTGATGTTTCACTAGTCTGTGCCAATTGTAGGACTTTAGTTTAATGCATATATTAGTACATTCATGAATAAAATATATACATTTCTGTGTGAAAGAAACTGGCATAGTGACAGATAGAGGGGCAGAGAGTAGGTTAGTGTTTGAGGAAGACCTATGGAAAGTAATTTATACATCTGTATTAATTTTTTTACTGTAGATCGCTACCCTTATATTAACGCTCTCTGCATTGGAATCCTACGGCTATAAGCTACTAGAAAAAAAAGGTTATAGGAAAAAGGACTGGAGGGAGATCAATCTAGAATCAGATCATTATCAGAAAAAAATCGCTGGTACAGAGGTACGTTTTGGGATGGAGCTAACATTAGAAGCAATATTACCAAACATTTATTTGTAAACCGTCTTCAATTTATCACCATTATCGTTATCATCATCGCCATCGCCATCGTCATCATCATCATCATCATCATCATCATCATCATCATCATCATCATCATCATCATCATCATCATCATCATCATTATCATCATCATCATCATCATCATCATTATCATCATCATCATCATCATCATCATCAACATCATCATCATCATCATCATTATTATTATTATTATCATTATTATTATGATTGTGATTATAATGATTATTATTTTTATTATTAAATTATTACGTTGCGATGGTTAATCACTTGTAATATTACCACTGTTGCGTATGTTCACAGGGAGCAGAGGAAATATTGAAAATGTTAGGTTACGTCAATAAAGACAAGGATAGACTCAGCTATTCTGAGTACATCAAGGAACCAATCAGAGAAGCCATTATTACCATTCTCATTGACGTAATAGTGGCGAAAGAGGAGCTTGATATGTACGAGCTAGAATGCCATCCAAATCCTGAATCTATTGTATGTATAATTGGGACAAGAAACGGACAGCAAGAACCGAGCCCTAGAAGCACGAGCGACACATTGATGACAAATAGCAAAATAAAATCCTCTCAAAGTTTCAGGATACAACCTTCGAAACCACCACGAGAACTACATTCTACATTCGATACCGGTATGCTGTACCAAACAGTTGGTACGTTATTTCAATTTAATTATAAATTTAAATAACCAAAAACAAAAGGAGAAAGACAATAATGGCAAAAAGAACATTAAAGACCATCAAATATTATGTCAGAAGACTCAATGTTGCAAAAGGAACTATTTATAACACTTCAGTTTCATTTAAGTTGAACATATTCAACATCTTATATGCGGTCAACTAATGTGTTTTTGAGAAGCCTTGTTATCATTAGTCTCAATATTATGTAAATGGACATAAATATTTTTTAGATTTGGAGGAAAGGCAGCCATATAATTATATGGATTTGGATGAATGAAAAATCTGACACAAGAGATAAGGCGTCACTCAATAATGCGAATTTCAGAGATGTTCATGCTATGAATTAGTGAATTTGTTTTACAATATCTATGCAAACACGTTGATTCTTTTACAAGCTTGCTTTGGAGTGTTACAGCCATGGAAAAGTGGGTGAAGGGCGAGCGTGTGACTGGGTAGAGAGTGAGTTTGGTGTTTGAAAAGGGTCGTATTTGTGTCTAATGGGAAAGAAAATACAAAATAGGGCTATAAGATCACTAATCCGAAAATAATAATAATATTTACTAGGCCCATGGAACTGCGTTTTTGGAACATAACCATTTCAAGAGCCCAAGTCTCCCGCAAGTCGCGGGAGTCATCCTGGATTCGGGATGGCCTCCCGCACTCCCGCAAGGATGGGCGAATCTTCAGGAAAATGACCTATCTTCCGCAAATTCATAATATGTGCACGTTTTATTACTTTATTTATCAATTGTCTCACTGAAATTGGTGACAATTGGTATAACCATGTGCAGAAAAATATAATTAGATGTGTTATAAAAGATCTTCCGGAGCTAATCTCTTCCAACTTGGGATCCCTGCCATTTCTCGATTAAATTGGTCCAGAACCCTCCTTTTCATTATTCGGTGAAATTTGTAAATGACTATTTATTCGTATGTTTTCTCGTAGATTCTTGGAATATACCTTCATGTAATCTTTGTGGTGATAGTAAAGGTATAGTTAATTGTAAGGACTGCGCCTGCTCACATTGTGCTGAATGTGACAAAGAATGGCACTTGCATCCCAAACGGAAGAACCATAAAAACAGAATCACCAGCAGAGAGTCGAGAGGAGACAAAGGAGAGTGCAATAGACCCATGTCAGCTCCCGGTGGCAATCGTGTCCAGCGATCTGTCTCACTAAGGTAAGCAAAATCGGCCAGGCTTGAAATCCTGAAGTTTTCAGCATGCACAGAGCAGGCACTAGCAAACGCGTTCTACTATTCATTCACATCGATACCTCATTGCCATCGTTTTTGCTAATATAACTGGCATCGTCATCATCATCCTGATGACATGACATTTAAAAATCATCATTATTATATATGCTCATCTCATTGTCTTCACTAACATCATCACTTTCAACACCACCACCATCATCATTTCATCATTTGGTATTGCCCGTTATATTAAATTTTTATACAGTAAAAACTTATCGTTGTTAGAGTAAGCTACTGTTATTTTTTTTTTTTTTTTTTTTTTTCAGACCAACAGTCCAGTCTGGGTCTAGATTAATTTCACGTTCTCATGTGAATGATTTCGAAGTAGATACAGTTAGCAAACTTTCGAATGATAGAAACTGTGTCGAAAGTGAATTAAGATTCAAAGATAAATTATTGATGTCACATAAACCAGGTAGTCAGTGGTATGTCAAATACGAAGCAGAACGGGACACTCTTAAACAACAGCTGATTGAAATAGAATCAAGATTGCGTGATGGCACTGTAACCGAACAACCGCGGGTTACTGCATCAAAAATGAAACATGATGACGTAACAGTGAATGTAATGGAAGTTGCTGTAGATCATTCTTTAAACTTGTCTAACGTTACCAAGAACATTCGCCGTCCTCCTACAAATGATGCCGTTCCTTACAAAGAGCGTGCATATCACCTTTGCGAGCATCAAAGAAACAGGGTCATGTGTGTGTATTGCCATGGCGACTTAAATAGAGACGCGTCATCAAGAGGAACTGAGTTGGCAACACAAGAGCTGCATAATTACCCAGAAGTACGAGACAAAGACCAACCACTGATGATGATTGAGTCACACTTTTCAAATGATACACCAGCGCCTGTTGGTTGGGGGTGTCCATATTGTACCTATGTAAACAAAAACATTGATATTTTTATCTGTGAAATGTGTAGCAAGACAACCTTAAAAGAAGACAGAGAAAATAAAATGTAACTGAATGCTTTTTTCTTTCTACCATGTAATGCCATCACTCGGGAAGCAATGTTTATGTCGAAAATACCACCACAAGACCATAGGCATATTATAGTCATCGATAGTAATAGGTGTATTTAGGCGGCAAATTTACCATTTACTTTGTAAAATATTGTAAATAGGAAAAATATTTTCAACTAGAGTCAGAAAATAAACATGCAATTGCGGGTTTTAGGATTCACAGATTTCACAGGTTTTAAATTTGGCTGTGGATATTATTTTGACAACCTCACGTAAATCCGAGGTATTAATTGGTGGAGCCGGCTTGACCCCAACCTTAAACTTCAGTCCTGCTATCTTAATCGACAACGGCATGTCGGTAGAATATCCATAGTGTTTAAATTTATTGAAGAGTGTAGCTTGATTTTTAAAAAAAAACGGTACCGGTAAGCAATGGTGCTATTCGATCGTACACAAAAGGACTGCATGACGAATCACTACATTTATTGTAAACATTAAATTACAATGATAATTACAGATACAGTGCATTTTTACACTATTCCTAATGGAATAACCAGATACATAATACTGTATCTTTACCTAATTTTCCCCATGTTAGAAATACAAAATATCATATTAATATAGCGTTGCTTAACGCACTGTAGGTATGCCTACGTAAAAGCAACTATTAACATATTCTTGAAAGATGGATATGTGGAATGTTGGCTAGGTCAGAGGTTAGTTTGTCAACAAACCAACGGCACCTTCTACCAATGTCAAGAGTTCAAAAAGGGTGGCTGTAAAAGGTGATTTGTTGTGTTCTATGTAAACAGCACATGTCAACTTTGAGCTCAGATCTGTACTAAAACCAGAGCCCATCAGCATGCTTTGCCTAATTGGCCGAGCGAGACCTTTCAAAGAGCAAAAATGTAAAAAAAACCCATGGTATTGTATTTTGTGTGATATTAGTTTAACAGTCCTAAATGTATTATTAGGTGTAGCACATTTTTAAAATTACAATAATTTGGACGACAATTTTTACTGATCAGAGCAAAATTTAGGACGTCTCAACGCCTTAAGGGTAGGTTACCATTCGACGTTGTAGTCCACGTCCTCAGATTTTGTCTTCACTGGCACTTTAGGAAAATCATGTAGTGTTTATTTTATTTTTGTGCATATAATAATTATTTACTTTTTAAAGTACACTAAATTTTTACTGTATTATGTAATTATATCTTTTATTTAGGCCTACATTTGGTACCGGTAGCCTTGTTCCATGAATATATGCTCGTCGTTCGTGCATGTCTTATCTTGACCGTTTCTTTGAAATATTGGTAATTTTTTTCTAATCAGCTTTTTAATCTGTTTTTTTTTTATTCTGTTGTTTGAGTGAATCAATAAAACCCATTTGTTTGAATACATTGCTTGAATGTTAAGGGTGTTTAATTTTTATTTTTGGTTTGAATAGGGTACATTACTTGAATGTTAAAGTGTGTTTTATTATTATATTTTTATTATATATACATTGTATTTTTTTCAAATTATATTGTTTTTTTAACTGACATGAATTGCGTATTTTAATAAAATGCATTTGTTTGAAGACATTATTTGAATGTTATAGTATGTAGAGCCAAGTAAGTCTAATTTTTACGTGTCTCACGTTTACCGCCATATAGGCCTATTATACTAATTTTAGTAAACGAAATGTTTGTTACGATTGACGGCCAGACGCCTGCACACATCTGCAAAATTGTGTCGTATCACCATCCCCGTAGGCGTCTTACAATTAAGGGAATTGTTCCAGCTCATATTTACTCATGTCAATTAAAATAACAAATTTACTAACACGAATCTACACAAATTATTGAACAAAGAGTTGTGACACTACAAAAACTACATGCAAGAATTGTAATTACAGGTTTTCAAATTATGTTAATACAGTACAGTGGGAGTTAGCAGAGACTATTCAGTATAGGTAAGTGAGCGCACCACTTCATTGAGTGCCGCTGATAAAAAAAAAGCTGTATATGTTAATAAAATAACAGAATATATGATAAGGTAGTCACATTAACCCCCAAAGAGGTTAACCCAAACATATATTTCAAAATACGTGACGAATAAGGATTGTCTGCATCTATAACAACATTTTGGGCACTCTGTAACCCAGTTTTTGTTATTTTTTGCTTGTCAGCATTTTAATTTATAAGGTTTTTCTTGCATTTGCAAAAGGTCTTTTTAAATTATAGTCGACAGGGGCGGATCTTGGTTGAAATTTAGGTGGGTAGGGAAAAGGGTCAGGATTATGAGGCTCCAACTTACCATGGTCAACTTACTAAATAAATACTAGATATATATAAGAGGATGCCTGAGCAAGGGCAGAGATCTGTTTGGAAAGGTGTGAACATTTCGTAAGTCCACCATAGTTCGGGCTGAGGTGGGAAAATTTGGGTAGAAATGGTAGCTCTACCCGCTTTTTTCTCAAATTATAATAATAAAGGCAAGCGCACTCGATGTTGTAGATGTAGTATAGGTAATTCAGATGTGTGTGGGCAGAGATACCGATATCTTGCTATAAAATAAGATGTAGGCCTACTCCGGCTGTACAGCGCTCTTTCGTTAAAACCTGGGTCATTAAATGCAGTTTATTTCAACAATTTTTATGCATATCATTCATCTTGACTTATAAACATCGATAAGGGTTTCTAATTCACAATTTTTCTGATACGCCCCCTGTTTTGAAATCACTTTATAGGCCTAAAAAATCAGCAGAATTTAGAAGGTCCTGGTCGGTAACTGATCAAAAATAATTCTATAAATAGAAATGATAGTCCTACACGTTCTTTTATTTTTACACTTTCGACTTTGGACAAATAGATTTTGTAACTCAAACACAACGGAGTGCTTAATATAGACCGCAAAATGAAAGAGAACACTCAAGGAAAATTCTCGAAATATAATTAGGCCTACATGCTGTGTCTTCATAGCATAACGACGGTGATGTCATGTCTTAAGCTTATTATTACACATGAAACATAATATTATTGCTATCATATTGTTGCTATCATTTTCGTGCAATGTTGAAATACAAATATCCATATCATCCTTGGCATTTCCTATCAATATTACACATAAAAATTGGGGAAAATCGCAAAGAAGTAGAAACAATAATGAGCAAAATATAATACTTATGTCTATTTATATATCTGTTGAAACTTCATGATTATAGTGTAATCCTAGGTTAGTTTATAGAAAAAGATAAATATGTAGGGTATATTCTGAAAAACACTTGTACAAGACGGAACACTAGACGGAACACTCATGTCAGAATTATATTAATAGAATAGATTTATAATACAGTACCATACATCAACGCTAATGTAAATGTTACATAATAATTAATCCCTTCATTGAAATTTATATAAAACATAACAGGCAGATTAATAGTGACATGCTTATAACAGTTGCAAAATTGCCTCTATTCACTTTGCTTTAAAGAGATGACGTCATTGCATAGTCGATTTCGGAATTTCCACAAAACTATTTATGCTAACACATGGCCGGGAATAGAATAAACGCCACATATTCATTTCCTAGTACTGTACAGTATTGTCGATTATATTCATAGAAATAGACCTACAGCGATTACGTTGTCGTTTCAGTATTTTTCAAAATGGATTCTCCAATTTTGAATATGAGCACTCTGTCGCACTGCTTGCAACATGTACAGATCTAGTCTGGCAGAAAAGCGTTGAAATCCGCATTTTGATGACAGTGATAATTTTAGTAGGCCTAACTGCTGCTAAAATGCCAACCGACGACGTCTTGTGAGCATTGCAATACATTACAAAAGAAATGAACAACAACGGACAGCCTGTAAGTATTAACAACTAACTATAATTATCATTATTATTATTATTATTATTATTATTATTATTATTATTATTATTATTATTATTATTATTATTATTATTATTATTATTATTATTATTATTATTAATACTACTACTACTACTACTACTACTACTAGTATTATTATTATTATTATTATTATTATTATTATTATTATTATTATTATTACTACTACTA